TTGCATTATACATAAGGTTGACATCATGTTGTGAAACTAAAAAAATTTTGAGGTCAAATTTCTCGCAACTCGGTACTGAGCTGATAGATCTTTGTAATTCTAGGGCAGCTGCCAGTCAAGACACAATCAAGTCTCAAGACACAATCAAGTCTCAAGACACAATCAAGTCTCAAGACACGGCCAAGACACAATCAAGTCTCAAGACACGGCCAAGACACAATCAAGTCTCAAGACACGGCTAGCCCCTGCCAACCAACAACAGCAGCAGCAATCATAGTACTGCATTTCTTAATAATCCAACAATCTTTGCCATTTTTTCTCCTTTCAGCTTAAGAAAACACCAACAACAAAAAAAATTTGCTTCAAAACGTTCCTCCTGTCAGACCCTCAAAAAACATGGCAGTAGTTTCTGAAGAAAGAAACCTTACATCATAAACAGCTCAAATCTCGTCAGAAAGACAGGAAAAAATGTATATCTTTTCCCATTTTTTTTTTTTTAATAAAAAAAAAAGGGTTTCCATATTTTTCTTACAAAACAAGAAAAATAATTAAGAACGCTTAATATCCACCGTAGAAGTTTAGGGAAATAAAAAATTTCAAAATCAGCTTTGCAACATAACTTTTACTTTCACTTTGAAAAAAAAAACAACCTAAATTTTTCATAAACTGCAAGCAACGCAAAAAAAAAAAATAGCAGAGAATGATGACATCAGTATCAGCCCAACACCCTTGCCTCTCGAAAGGACATCTTCTTGCTACAGTCGGGAAAAAATAAAGCAAACACAGAAAAACTCGAGATCACGGATAGCTTGTACAATTTGTCATTCCCCAAGTGAAACTTTAACGCTGTCATTAGATCCGTTTAATATCCGGATTACGGATGTGCCCAACACATTCCGTAGCCACTTTGTACAAAATAGTTCCAAGGAAACGATTTGTCACTCCTCAATGTGTTTGAGTTATTCCTGTCTGACTGTGTATACGAGTCCGACAATTCCACCCCACCTTTCACGTACTGCCGGTGAACGTGTTATGACATGTGGACATACAAATATACTTTTCCAACAGTCACTCACCAGTTCTCGCACAACTGGAGTTAGTTACAACTACAACTAAAAATACTGAACAGGGCACCAAATACATCAGGCAAGCAACAACAAGTCATCATGCTGAAAATGGGAGGGGGGGAAAAAAATAGATATTAAAAAAAAATTTTTTTTAATCTGATGTATGTAACGCACTGTACTAAAACAGTAACCTAACATACCCCCACCCCCACCCCCATATCCATTCAGAACAGAGAGTTTTGCGTCCAGTAATCCTGAACTAGAAGAGCATTTAACTCACACAAAAACATTACAAGAAATTCAACTTGAAAAAAAAAAAAAAAAAAAAAAA